CAGGTTTCTACAAAGTAATGTCAGTTAAATAATATATAATGGGAAATAAGTGATTGCATAAATATTCACCCCCTTTAAAATGACTGACCTAATTCAACAGAGGTCCAGCCAATTGGTGCTAGTAGTCTCACAATTAGTGAAATGGGGATCACCTGAGTGCAGTGAATGTGTCTCAGGTAATTGTAATATAAAGACACCTGTGGCTGGTAGGTCCATTCACTGGTTAATCAGTATTCCTGGCTACCATTACACCATGAAGACAAAAGAACATACCGAGCGACTCAGAGAAAAGGTTATTGAAAAATATAAGTCAGGGGATGGATACAAAAATATTTCCAAGGCACTGAACATCCCCTGGAGTTCAGTTAAATCCATCATCAAGAAATGGAAGGAATATGGCACATGTCTAAATCTGCCTAGATTAGGCCGTCCTCACAAACTGAGTGACCATGTGAGAAGGAGACTAGTGAGAGAGGTCACCAAGACACCTATGATTACTCTGAAGTTACAAGCTTCAGCAGCTGAGATGGGAGAGACTCTGCACATAGCAACTGTTCCCGGGTTCTTCACCAGTCAACCTGATTGAGACCTATCCACACAGACTCAGTGCTGTGACTGCTGCCAAAGGTGCATCTACTAAATGTAATCACTTATTTCCCATTACATATCTTTAATTAATTGACATTACTTTGTAGAAACTTGTTTTCACTTTGACATTAGTTTATTTATTTATTTTGTAATTTATTTTGTCAGAAAAGCCAAATTATATTGACCATGATTGAGTTATAAAATCAATAAAAGGGTAAAATATCCAAGGGGGTGAATACTTTCTATAGGCACTGTACCTCTGTCAGATGCTACAGTGAGCTTTTACCATCCAGTAATGAGTGCACTGAAAGCCAGGGCTGCCTGTCCATTTTGTGATCTGAACTAATAACTCAGACAAATTGGATCCAGCTAGGTGGATGTCTCGAGGCGATCCAGCAAAACTGGTTTCCCTGGTCATGCATGCCTGCCTGCCACTGTTAAACAGCCTGGGGGAGTGAAACAGGCTTCAAGATCCTGCCCCACATTCCTAACTTCTTTGGGCTATAAAATTTGGAGCCCCAGCTCCTCCTCCTCTTCCTCCTCCTCACTGTGTTTGTTTTCTGACTCTCTTCTTCTGCTTCAAAGTAGAAGAGCAGCCTGACAGGGATGTACCATCCTCCAACCACGGGGGAGCTCATTGAACTTTGTACAGAAAAAGCTGCATTCAGGCTTCCTGCCTCCCCCCTCTGCATTCTCTATAAGTGGATTGGCCTGATGTGGAGGGGAGAGGCTGGAGAGGGTTCAGTAGAAGAGAGAGTAAGAACAGCATTTGGGAAACCAGCTGATCAGAGCTGTGGTATTTGACCACAGAGGCACAGGGGAGAGAGATTCTGGGATAAAGAGAAGCTAGAGAAAGCAGCTGAAGTCGTCGTGATTTTAAGCCTGAGAATATACAGAGAGAAGAGTGGAAATGTCTCCTACCTTTCATGGGAAACTGTGACATTGTGTGAAGAGAGAAGCTCTGTGGAAATATGTGAGGGCTGTTGGCAGACTGAAGAAGAAACGTATAGAAAAGAATCAGTCCTTGGACAGCAGTCAACAGAGGGCTGAGGAGTTCGTGTGGAAAGAGGAGTGATGTCTTGGCTGTCACCTGTGTCATGGGCTAAATGGACATGGACGGCGATGAGAGGGGGAGAGGGAGAAGAGGAGGCTGAAGAGGGGCAGGATGCCAGCGAGGAGAGGGTGAACCATGGAGAGAGAGAGGAGGAAGGAGTGGAGGAGGAGGAGAGATCTCAAAGCTGCAGGCAAGTGTTATGCTGGAGCCTGGACACTAGCGACACTGTGATCTGTAATCTATAATATTAAGAAGGTCGGGGAAAAAAAAGAGGATAAAACATATCTGTTGTGTTACCTGTGTGGACATTCAGCTGTTTACATGCAGACATGTCAGATGTGGTTTGAAGTCATGCAGCACTGACCTATTTCTGGTTTAGACTGTGACTGTTTGAACTGAATATTATTCTCAGCTTCACAACACATGCTCATTTCTGTGATTTTACAGGAATAACACACTACAGCACTGCAGTCAGGTGCGTTTTAGTATAATGATGTAATCACTATAAACACACGTGGATGACACATGCCCGAGGCATTGTGACCTTTCTGTCCCTATGCTTTTGATGACTATTTTCCTGGTCATCGTTCCAAGTAAACCCAAAACTTTACAACAATTTTTTTGTGTTGACCTGCACACTTTATTGTCCATACACACCACCCTGCAGTGTCAAGTTGTTAGATGAAAAATCCGTGTGTGTGTGTGCTGTTACTTTTGTTTACAGCAGATCAGTAGCTATTTGATCAGAGTAATGTCAGTATCTACCAGGGAGTGATGTAGTTTCCTGTATTGATCAGGCCAAAATGAAGGCTGCACTGCAACATTCAAAACACAATTTGGTGTGGAAAAGGCTAATGTGGAGCTTCAGTTATAGCTTGTAAGTTAGTCTTATATGTCATTCAATATGGCGCTTACAATGTAACAGGAAATAGTCGGCTGCCCTACTTCCTCTTTTTCCGTATACCTTTCACTTTATCTGTTTACTCTCTCCTCTTCACTGGCATAAATCAGATAGTACTGATGGGTTTTGGACAATAAGGACATGTCAAATTACACTCAAGCCATTTTTGCATGATAATATAAAACTAAACATATTAAATATGCTTTGTTAGGCTGTCCTCTTCAGGATAAGCAATATTAGATAATGAATAGATGTTAGGCTGTATTCAGTATACTTCAGATTTAAATCCATCCTTCTGACTTTCCTCAGGTCTTTATTTATTGTGAAATACTGTTTTACCCCAATAAAGAGCCACAAGCCAAAAAGGTTGGGAAAGTCTGCAATAGACTTTGATGCCATGAATGCTACAGTATCTGGAATCAAATAGTATCACTGTGTGATTTAATAAATGTGAAGAAATAGAAATGAACTGCATTTATCCATTGCACATCATATTGAAATAGTATAGTTCTGTTCATGCAGTTTGTAGTTCAGAGTACTGAGTCATCCTTTTACTTTTGGGTATCAATAGTGTTTATATCGCCTTCCTTCAGTACTTGTAATATGAACATTACTTCTGAGTTATGTAAGGATTTTTGTGTCCTCTTCTTGTGTGTTTTGAATGTTTAGGAAGTTCATGCTCTCTCTCTCTCTGTGCCTCTCTCTGTTTACCACAGCTCTGATTCAGAGGGACATTTTGACACTCCTGAAGCAGCAACTCCTGTCCGCGCCCCTCCGACCATCCCAGGAGAGCTGGAGAACAGCAATGCTGATGCAGACAGAACAGGTGAGGTCACTGCTGAGCAAATAGTGGATGAATGGAGAAAGACAAGGTGAAGCAATCCACATCAGGTGTCTAAGACATGAATGCATTACAGTGTCACCTGGAGGTTCCTATTATTACTGCAAATGTTGAATGGACCAGAAGAAATGCCTTTTCAAGTCCACAGTGCACATAATAGAATGAGAGTACCTCCTTGAAGTTGTCATGGAAACAAGGCTTTTGATGCTGCTCTAAATGTTAAGACATCACGTTTCTGCCTATGATTGTATATATTATTTGAAAGAAAATGTGTCTAAAATGTTTCAACTATATAGCCTTTCTATGTTAAAATAATCATTTTAAAACTACATTTTGGCATTTAATTCCACTATTGTCTTGTGCATCACGTTTACCACGCAGGAGTAAATGATACATATGCTGTCTGACTTCCTTAGGAGTGTGTCTAGCTAGTCAGTTTCAGCTTTAAATCAGAATTTACCTGGCTTTTTAAACTAGTATCATTATAAATTGGTAAAGCATACAAGTTTACTTATTATTAGACATGCTGTCAAATGCATGAGGCAGTGTTTTATTATAGGTAACCTTGGTTACCTAATGCCTAAGCAGGTAGTGAAGCATGTCCTGCATGCTTGGTTTTTAAGCTTGTGTGCACACAGAGTAGGGACTGTGGGTGGGTTTGGGGTGTGATGATGGAGGAAGCACTGTCCTTGTAATTTGAATCACTAAGGGGAGGAGCCTACAGCAGAGTGTGGGAATGGCCTTTGCTCTGGAATTCAACAGGTTCAACAAAAGCTTCGGTTCACCCTGTTTTGCATTGGTCACTTATAGAAGACAATGAGTGAGTGAACAAAGCTCTGCCATACGTTGCTGTGCAGCTGTCTTTCACTAAGAAAAGATTTCATAAAGCAGCTCCAGCAACATTTTCCTGAGTTATCCACTGCAAAGGTCAACCAGTATGGAGTAGTCAGTGAATTCACTTTTGTTTCAACCACAAACATCCCTTCCTGTAGCTACTGGAGGAAGACGTTTGAGTCCTGGCAGGAGTTGAGGTGCCTCTAAAAATGTCTTTAAATGTAAGCATGCTGATGGCTGTGTTTGTCTGTAACCATCCAAAGTCTCCATTAGTACACGAGCATCAACCTGGATATGTCTGACAGTTTATAGTTATGAGAGAGTTGAGGTTTTTGACACAGCCACACGGGCACCCAACCCTAAACTGACTATATGGCTTTATATTTTAACAAAACTGTAAACAAATGCAGATGTTATATTTTGTTAATCAAATCAGACCACAGGATTTGTGTACTGTCCACAAACATGTTCTGTTCTCTCTATACAAACACAAATGTGAGAGAACAACAAGACTCTAACAAAACATTGTATTGAATATGCACGGGGGCTATGGATGAGGACATGTTTGTATGGGCATGTTGGAGTTCAGGAATACTTTGGAAATGACACGCGGGTGACATGGTAAGTACACTAGCTAGAAACAACGCAGGCTGTGCTAGTCTCCTAGCAACATAACATTACATGAATATGGGAGTATGACAGGCATACTGAAATATGATGATGTGTGTTGTCCTCAACACAGAATAAATCATGGCTCCTTTTACTTTCCAATGCACTACTTGGTTTACTACTTGTCATGGCCCTCGTAGTACAATGTCTCCATAGCAACAGAGGCAATTTGGAACAACTGGCTGGCTAGCAGCTTGTGTTTAGAAAGCCAATCAGATATCATCTTCATCTCAGTTTAGATTGGACTGGAGAGATCGTGATTGGCAGCAGAAGTGTGTGTGTGTGTGTGTGTGTGTGTGTGTGTGTGTGTGTGTGTGTGTGTGTGTGTGTGTGTGTGTGTGTGTGGCTTTAATAACACTTTGTGTTGTTTCATGGTTAATTCAGGTATCTTCTTTCATTTCTTACTCAGACCTGGATCAGGATGAGCACCTGATAGTGACTGTTCCTTTTGAGGATCAGGATATTTTGGTCAGCCATAACATGGGTCAGGATGAGCCTGTGGTCCCCATGGATGGCTCACTGGAAATAACCATTCAGAGGACAGAAGCAGAACAAATGGATAGTCCTCCAGAAGCAGAACAAATGGACAGTCCTCCAGAAGCACCAGGCTCTGTGCCAGCTCTAGATTCATTTTCAATGCAGGCAACTCCAGAAGTAGCTAAATGCATGGCACCATCCTCCGAGCCATCTCAAGATTCAACCCCAGTCTTAGTCATAGGTCCTGTCCTGGATCTGGCTCCAGTTCCTTCTCTTGCTCCAATCCTAGAAGCAGACTTAATTCAGAGCAATGAACCTGTAGCCTTCTCAGCTCCAGATCCCCCTGAGGAGGAGAAAATTCTTGATAAGCAGCAACCAGAATGCAATGCTCTCCACAACCAGACAGAACCTACTCAAGAGACTAAAACCAGCAAATCCAAGCTGAAAATGAAGGCCTCACTGAATGAGCTTGCGCAAACAAATGAGGAACAAGAACTTCCTGTTCCCAAAGCCACATACAACTTTGACCTTGATCAGTTGGATGACAGCTTTAACCCCTTCACCAGCAGCGGATCTAAAATCCAGAACTCTCCCCCTCCATGCAGCACAAGCTCTCTCCCCAGACTTGAGTCACTTGGCAACTCATTGCCTGTCTGTGAGACCAGCACACCAGCTCCAGTAGAATTAGAGATGGTGCCATCATCATCTGAGGCGAAGCCTGTGGTGCTGGAGTTCGGCCTAGACGAGGGGATGGTCAGCAAGCCACCTCCACGGAAGTTAGGTGGAAAGAAGTCTATCAGCAAGCTCACAGCTAAGAAGCAGAAGGCAAAAGTATCAGAGGGTTCCTGCAAACCTGCATCAGAACTCACAGTACCAGAACCAGATTCTCAACCAGTACCAGAACCACTTTTCCAGTCATTATCAGAACCTGTTTCAGATCCAGTTCTAGAAGCTTTGCCAGTTTCCAACTCTTCTGTGCCACTGAACCTTGACGATGTTCCTATCCCTAAAAAAGGAACGTATAACTTTGATCCCAGTCAGTGGGATGACCCAAATTTCAATCCGTTTGGTAGCAATAACAATATGAGCAGCTCTCCAGTGCTCCCCAAGGGTTCCTACAGCCTTGACCCAGACAATTTTGATGACTCTGTGGACCCGTTTAAACCTTCCAAAAGCCTGACCATCGAGGACTCATGTGGTAGTGCCACTCAGCCTATGAAAAAAGTAAAAGATGGAGGCAAACAGAAAACGGTGCATCCACCAGGGGAGAAAAAAGTGAGGCAAATTCCCAAGAAAAGCAAAGAGAGGACTATCACGTAAGTATATTCAGGAAGAAAAAAAAGGCTTGAGATCAAATTTCTGTTCATATGTTTGCACTTTTTCTTTCTTGGTTCAGGAGTTTAAAATAAAACTTCAGTATTTGATTTATTCTCTCAACTAAGGTTTAGCTTTACCCCACTGCGCTTGCTCTTTCTCAAGCTGGAAATATTAGTATTTACAGCCAGTAGCAGTTGGGTGCACATAACAATGCTTGAACACATGCCAAACACTTAGCACTGCATACTGACCATTGATGCAATTCCCTTGGAGGTTATATATAGGCTGTTAAAAGTGCTTTTAGCTGCAGTGGTTGGGCTGCTTTCAGCTTTTCCAGGGCTGCCGGCATGTTGTATTTATGCTCAAACTTTAAACTATCTAACATGCTGAGCTGAACACCTTTAGTCACTCACTCGCTCTCCTTTGTCTCTTTCCCCCTGTTCTTTGTTCCCTTATTAAACTGTCCTTTTCCTACGCTGTATCCCCTTCATCCTTCATTCTTCTTCTTGTCTGTTATGCAACCCCCAATCTTTGCTTTCGTCCACTTCTCGTGGCCTCAGGACATCTGAACAAGTCAAGTTTCTCTGTTTTCTGTTGTAAGTACTTTCACTCTCGATGCTCGCTTTCTTTCATGCATGCTTGCTTTCCATTTTACTCATAGCATGTGCCGTGTCAGAACCGAATGCTGAAGGAGTACGTGAAGGAAATAAATGTCTTCCTAATTTTCCCTTCATCTTGCAAGGTCACCCCCATGCACATTAGTAATTTGCCATGCCTTATGATCCCTCCTGAAGTTGGGTAGCACAGTATTGTTATACATGTGTGTTGCTGCACAAGACATATAAATGATTGCTGCTCTATGGTTGTAGATTTTGCAAATTTAAGGATCATTAATTCCTGCATTGTTGTCATGTGCTTGTTTGTAGGAATTCCTGTAAAGTACAGAAATATGATGAAAGCCAGTCCTTGGTGCTTGATGTGTGTAGCCAGGTAATGTATGTGTTTGTGAGTGCAGTGTTTTGCCTTACTGCAGTGACACCGCATTGCCGATTATTCAGCAGCTGTCTAACCTCTTGGCCTCACCTCTTTACGTGCACACCATCAGCAGTGTCTCAGCTCTGCAGTGGTGACTTGGCATGGTAACAGATCTGTGACTTATCACTCTGCAGTCACATATTAGTCTGTGCCCTCAACAATATCAACACCTCCGTCCTCCGGAGATACCGTCAAGATATTGTATTGCTACAGAATTTGTCAAGGCCTTTAATGTTACTGTACCTGCATAATGCAGTTTATTATTCAAACTATGGAGTTACAGCCCCAACTCAGAAAAATTTGGGACGGTATGTAAAATCAAATTTAAAACTGAAAATAGTGATTTGTAAATCATCTGTGTCAAACTGAATCATCATGTCATTGTTTTACCTCATTACAGGCCCTGAAATGTAAATGTCCAAGTTTTTTTTTTGGAATGTGTTGCAGCATCAGAATTGAAATGAGTGTTTATTTTGAGCAATGAATAAAATTGATGAGGTATCACATCAAATAATGTGCTGCTGTGTTGTTTTCAATGTGATACAAGACTGAGGTGATTTACAAATCACTATAGTCAGTTTTTAATTGGGATTTTACATCCCGCCCCAACATTTTCTGATTTGGGGTTGTACATTTGTTCTTTTGCTTGGTTCTTAGGTTGTCATAAGCATCTGAAGTGATGTAACCACACCTGTTTATGAAAGGTTTCAATCCACAGCAGAAACTTATGCTCTTGTAAAATGTATTATTAAACCTGCAAACTAATATTTTCTTTAATAAGTAATTATTTGATATAAAGAAGATTTTTCTTTTGCTCTTGTAATGTGGTTCCCTTGTCTTCAGGAGCAGGATGAGGTGGTGGTTCAGACTGCAGAGATCAGTCATCGAGTTCATCATGCCACTGATGAGGAGAAGCTGGCTTCCACTAGCATCATGGGCCAGAAAACGGACAGCCAGGAGGAGAGAGGAGAACCTGAATGCAATAAAGCACCAGCGACAAAACAGCAAGTCAGCGACATATCTGTAACAGATGGTATGTTTCTCAATCTGCTTCACAGCGTCTCTGTAGTGTTTAAGACTTTTGGCTCATTTGGGGTGGGTCAATAAAATTCTTAATAAGAAATGCGTTGACACTGGAGGTTGGAATTTCATGGGTTTTTGGAACAGATGCTAAATTAACAGTCACAAACAGCATCCAGGCTAAAGGTGACATATTTTGTTTTTAAGCCAACTTGAAATTGAAGAACTGCCCAAGATGTGTTCATGCAGCAAGTGCGTGCTTTTATTATACAGTGAGGAACAGAAGTATTTGAACACCCTGCGATTTTGCAAGTTCTCCCACTTAGAAATCATGGAGGGGTCTGAAATTCACATTGTAGGTGCATTCCCACTCTGAGAGACAGAAT